CAAGTAATAACATTGTGCAGTACTTCAGGGAGACTTTTCCAGATATTCGCAAACGTTTTACCAATACTAGTAACCACACCTTTAAAAAAGTACGGCTATATACCAGGAATCAAGCTTTTCGCAAAATTTACACCAGCCCACACTGTTACCCACATCACATAGGCATCTACGGGCTTACCCGACCGATGGAGCCCTTTACCCCACACCCACCTGTTGCTCATTCCTTATCAGTTCTTCCTGCACGTTGCCAACCCGTTTTTCATCCTACAGTCCGTAAGCTCTTCATTGTATCAAAGGGTACGCATGGACAACAAACGTCGCATGGCTCTCAAATGGCACAGCGCTAAAGAAACCGAGTGCCGGCATCTTTGCGCTTCATGCAAACATGCATTTCTGAAAATTTGCAGAAGTCCATATTTTATTGGTCCTACGACGACTTGCTTGTGCATATGAATAAAATATATATAAGATGAAAGCTTAACTTATTCACATGATGACGGCACCTACATGTTGCTAGAGCCAGTGGTCGCGCGTTCAGAACCAAACTTGTACTGTTTTAGCCACACTTTCCGAGGCAAACAGAAAACTTTAGCTCACTGCGTGAGCACTAGACTTGCTTCTTTGGTCGATTTTGGTGACGTTAGTCCCAAAAGGGTCAAAATAACGGGAGACGTCACCTCATCTACGAATTGTCCCACTTTAAGCGAAGTGGGCAGCACTAACGCATAGCCAGATCATTCAATACCATCGTGCTTTAACACGTAAATCCAAAGTCGAAGCTAATGGCCTCAATCTTTGAGCGGAACGCAAGTCAGCAGCTCCGAACGTAGCGAACTCGAAGCCCAAGCTGGCCTGTCAGACAAAAATCAAGACACCCAACCCGAAGCGGAATCTATTATGCGACGTCGTTTATGAAGCTATTTTCACGTCTGCCAAACCCCTATAGGAACGAACGAAATTATGAGGGTTTTACAGAGTAGTTGAGATGAGGTGTTAGCATTGCCGATGAGAAAGTTGTTCGAAATATAGTCCTACTCTTAAGTCCTAGTATGTACACGACGTTTTGGCCAGATAGCCCCGGCCATCGCCATGTAATAGTTCATCCTGAGATCAGAGGCTGGTGTTTGTCTTTCGGACATGCGTGCGTTACAGCCTTGACAAGTTGTGCTGTGGGTAAATTGGGGTGACAGGACGGGCACGCATGTTTTTTTTTAAACTGAGTCGCATATGCAGAGGAAATTCACCATGACAAAGCTGAAGAGAGCAGTTCAGGATCGCGTGAGTCGAAGCCAACAGGGGCGAAGGCAAGGAGAAAGTGGCCTTTTAAGCCAGGCCCACAATTCAAACATTGTTCAAAGCCGAAGTCGAAACCACATTTTAAAAATGACACAAGGCCGAAGGTCCCAGATGCCCTCCCACATTGAATGCAACACTGCCCAGTACGCCCCCTGTAAGGAAGCCCTAATTCGTCCAGGAGGCCCCTTGGAAAATCCCGTCCCCAACTCAAAATTCGCGGTGTCGCCCCCGTTGACAGCGGGTAACGTTGACATTCTACACATGTGGAAGTAGCATTGAATCATAAGGTCCTGCAATAAACGGACTCAGATTCCATCCGTACGCTCGCCCTTTTTCACCCTGATCAAGGACGTTGGCACAAGCACACGCAAACTTGTGTGCGTTGGCCAAATGATGACGATACGCTCTGCAAATTCCGCCAGTGACCGTCACAACTCCTTCGGCCCGGAGGGAAGTGCCCACGGCAGGATTGGTCACGTGATCGCCTCTTGCTCTGGACGCACCAGTTGTTCGTGCTACTCGACGCTCACGTGTGGAGAGACATGGACGTCACATCTCACATTGTATATTAACACCAGAAACAATCACAACGTACCATGATTTCTAGCTTCATCACGCATCACCGAACGCACACTGACCGTCTCGTAAGACGTGTTTACGCTATTGCTTCACGAGCGTTTGTAGTGTTTTCATCACCTGCTCCTTGTTCATGTTGGTGAGCGGCACACTACTCTCCTTGCCAAATGCTGAAATAAAACAAGTTCAATGATGTTCTCTTTCACATGTTGTCACATGCTCACATGATCACGTTGGCTGAATCACGCCGTGACGTTCACTGGCTGCCAAGGGTTTTCGCTCGTGCCGAGAGATGCAATACAAGCCATGGGTGGAGATAAAACAGCATCATGGGTGCGGCTGCCGCAGCCCTGAGACGTGTAATTTTATACCCCTATCCATCAGTGAAATTGCTAACTTTATGCTGGTTTGAGCCATGAAGTTTGCCTTGAGATGTGTGGCTTTATATCCCCATCTGTCAGTGAAATTGCTAACTTTATGCTGGTTTGAGGACGTCTAAGTCCAACTTTGGTCTTCCTTGCTCGCTTTCTGCAGGAGAGGCCATGACTGTGACATTTGGAGTTAAATTATCTCATAAAATGGGTTGCCTAAGTGTAATACAACACAAGACATATTGTGCTTACCATATCTCGCATAAAGTTTAGGGTGAATCCCACTGCATTCCCGAATTAGAATAGGGAAGTCAGGATTGGCTTTCTTCAGTGAAACATAGCTGTTCTTGATGAAATCCCTGAAAAATGAATAGTTATGCAATAAATGGAACCAATAAAACTGATGAAATAGCTGATGAGGCATGTACCGGGCCAGATAAATGTATCACACTACACTTGATTTGATTTTACCTAAACAACCCACATCATTGCTTTAGACACACAAATCTTTTCACTACACACAGGCAATTTTGCGGGTATATAATGCAGGATATGTCATGACAGTAAACATATCGTACATGGCACATCAAATTTCCACAATCACAACTTCAGTTAATCACACTTTTTGTCCAGGTTGATAACCTGAATGACAAATTTGCAGTGTGACCAGCAAGACAATAAAAACAAAAGCATATATGCACTTCACGATATCCAAATCCCTGAAATAACCTTTGTACAATGTAATCTCATAACCTTAAAATGGAAGTCACATGTTACTGAACCTGCGGGCCCAACATCGCTCCATTGGTACATATAGCAAGAGCAAAGGCTGTTTCAAGCATATATACCTGAGCAAGAACACATCATTCAAATTTAAGCTTCCTCAGTTATTTTGAGGTGGAACAACAATGAGAGCATCACAAAAGTGACCAGAGTGTCATTTTGTTACCCATCTTTGTCCTAGACCAATGTTTTGAGACCAGACAGGCAAGTAAGCTGTACAGCATGATTTACCTGTACTGAAAAGGGTCAGAAACAGAACAGGAGTATCAGAACTGTAGTGAACTGAACTGTACCAGAAATGGTCTGCCATTTTGGAAAGAGAACCACACCTGAGAGTTTGCATGAAAGTCTGACAACATTACAGACCAGCTTTTTAAGAACTGCACTGCTTGTTGTCAGAATAACGTACAATCAATGATAGCCACAATATTACCCTCCAAAAAGGATGAAGAAATAGGCTAGGCCAGCACAGAAAATACAAAATTTTAGGCAGCCACACATGGGCTGGTCCAGCCTGTGGCTCCAAGTATCACAATCATGCTTCCATATTGCTTGCAAACTTTGGTTGTGTATTGCACAGAGACAGAGACCTTTGAAGAGCATTTCCAGCCCTGAGGAACTTTTAAACCCAGCCAAGGACAAGGATTATTTTCAAAACACTCAAGATGACAGCCTCCTGCCCATAATCTCCTTTTGTTTCTAATCCATGTCAACTAAACTAACCAAACACTGGCACAGCTAAAGCTACTTCACTTCACCCTAATTCAGTTGATTTACAATTTTGGGTTGTGTGGTCCCAACTAATCGCAGCTTCATTTTAAAAATGTAGGAAGCAAAACATGTGCATTTAGGTTACCACTCCTCACATCATGTGTGATAATGGCAACGAAGCCAAACAGGCACATTAACCCAAGTATTTATCAGAATAAGTGAGAATGAATTTGGAAATGAAACATAACCTAACCTGAGATTTTGAGACACCCCTCAATATTACAGGCATTAACTCAGTAGACGTTTCTTGCGCACCAGCTATAAGCAGCCACGACAATTAAAAATTATCGGAATGACAATGACCGCGCAACCCCTAGAACATATATCCTTACCGGACTCCTTGACTCGCAGCGGACTTCTGACACAAGTGAAGCCTTAATTCCTTCAAATGAGGCCCAAACCTTGCCACCGCTCCCGACGCCATTTCTGCTAGCCAAGGATGTCTGATGTCTGAATGGTCTGAATGTATAATTGTATTTCCGCGAGAACACACCGATGACGGCATTGGTAGTAGCCAGAATACGTTATCTGCAGCACGAGCGTGGTCGACTGGCAAATTTTGTAGGTTTTCTTGAAATTTTTATGTGCGGCCATGCTTGTCATCACTGGGGACGGGGAATAGATTCCTTCCAATTATTTTCAACGATTTTCTCTAACATCACAATACTGTCTGTGCCACGCTTATTTTCCCGATAACAGATATTATTTCGCAACCAGATTGTCCCCAGTATGACCCCTCCCACCCCGGCTGATTCCCCGTGGCCGCGCCCATCCATACGTCCATTGATCGCTCCCAGGAACCATGACATCCCGTGATGTCCTCCGACATTCTCCAATTCTCGTAGTCGCAGAGGGTCTCCGGATTTCTCCCTCCCTCCCTTCCCTCGGCCACTCTCTGGCCCTCACCACAGCCCAAGAATGCTGCGTCGTCACAGCCCTGCGGTCGGCACGTACGAATGTGACCAGTGCGGGGGACGTGGCGTAGTCCTAATTTAGCCGTCCAACAAGTTTTCTGTTCGTAAGACAACGTTGTAGGTCTGGGGTACAGCCTGATTCGACCTTTCCCAAGTCGGGTCATGACCGTTTCCGTGGTGAAAGAAGAGGTATGCTATGCGCCCGAGGCCCCAGTCACATTCAAAATATTCACACGCCGTCTAAACCGCAGCAGAGCTGCAGTTCGTCATCCTTGCATAATTGAAACTGTTGCATACATTGGTTTATTGTAATGTAAAGATGCACGAAAATACACGAAATGCCCTTGCACGATTCAGTCAATTAGTTGCTGAGAATTGAGCAATCAACCACTTGGCTTTCATTCAGTTGCACCAGTTGCTTCAGCAGCTAACACCAATATTAGTGATCCACAATATCTCACGGAATATAATCACCAGATTAGCACAACTTTGAAGGACTTAATTGCGCCAAGGATAACACAGATATCTGCTCAAATGTCAGCAAAATACGCCAATGCCGACGTAAACGATGGACAATAAGATGCCACACCCATCAAAATTAGTGATGTTCTATGAGCTTCAAGATCAACAAGAGGGCATTATCTAGTTCTATATCAACTCGCAAAGCAGTAGACATTCGAGGCTTTCCTGTCCTTGTTAGCCTGTACATATCACATCCTCATTGTAAACAAGTGTACAAGACCAGAGTGTGACATGTAATTATACACATCAGCTTTTGATTGTTGTGCAGCATACTGTATTGATGTGCAGAGATACATGTATCTTCATCTGGTTCTTTGCATATTGCAAGCAGGCCATGCAACATTGCATGACATGATATGTAAATCTCTTCTGAAAATCAAGTCACTACAAAGAAGGACTTGTCAGACCGCAGCTTAGTTAGACTGGTCAGACTGCAGGGAATGTGTGAAATGCTCTGCTAAAGGGCGTCATGCTATTGAGGATGTATCGGCCGACGCCCTGCTGAAGAAGGGCGTCAGACTGCTGAGGATGTGTCGGACGACGTCCTGCTGAAGAAGGGCGTCGGGCTGCTGAGGATGTGTCGGACGACGCCATGCTGAAGAAGGGCGTCAGGCTGCTGAGGACGCGTCGGACGACGCCCTGCTGAAGAACGGCGTCAGGCTGCTGAGGATGTGTCGGAAGACGCCCCGCTGAAGAACGGCGTCAGGCTGCTGAGAATGTGCCGGACGACGGGCGCGCTCCAGGCTCGGCCCAGCAGCTGCTGGCGCCTCTGAGGGCCCAGGCTGCCGAGGTCGGTGTAGTGGCGGGGTAGGCCAAACATCTGGGAAGCCACACAGCCCGGTCAGAGCAGGCCATAATCACAAAACAGTGACAGTGTGACCGGCAATAACTCTCACACATCTGAGGACTGAGCTCAAATCTGGAGCATTAACATCAAGCCGTGTAAATGTCATGACACTACTGCAAAGAACTTGCTGCTCACCCTCTCGAAGTCACATTTATGGAACCCCGCATGAGTTCGAGCTCTCTGGCATGCAAACGCCGTCATCGGGTCAGAAAAAATCACCTGTAGGTGGTTCAACACAGGAAGGAAGCCCACCGTGTTGTAGACGGACCCTGCGGGCGCTAGGACGAGGCTGGTAGCTCCGACCACTCGGCACCGGTCCCCGCCGGCGGATGACCGCAGCAATAACCCGGTACGGGGGGAGGGCAAGCAAGGGGTCGGCTGGTCTTCCGCTATCACTGTCATGTCACTACAGTTCAGTTCAAACGTTCCCAATGGTCTACTAAGCAATCAATTGAGGCAGGCCGAAATAAATCCGGCCTTCGGGACATCCAGGGCGGGTCGAATCCTGTCTTTTTCATACCGCCAGCACACGTGACGTCACCTGTTCTATCTCGGTGATCCACATGACGTCACCCTGCCCGTCCATGACGACCGGGCTGAGGCTGAGCCGACCCTGGCGCAGCGAGTTGCGGCTGGTGGTGACGCAGCCCACCTGGTGACACCAGCGCCATCTCGTGAGCGAGACGAGAGACAACAGATGCTAGTCCCATTGCCGAGATACCCCCATGCGCTTTTCCAATTTAGTGCCTTTGAATGGCTTTCACAGACGAGCTTGCGTTTAGAACAATCTACGACGCAAGCCTGCCCTGTTCTCTGCTGTGGTTGAATACATTATCTCCATCTCCGTTTGACGCGGCCAAAGACCGTGGCTCTGCAGTACCATGCCCCATTCAGAGCCAGCTGAGAGTCTGCACACTGGACCAAGGCAGGGCCGAGCTCTGAGCCCAGACTGACCTGGTCGGTAGCCGGCTGGTGGCTGGGCAGCACCAAATACCGAGCCCTCAGTCCAGACTAACCTGGCCGGCGGCCCGCCGGCGGCAGGGCCGTCACCACACACCGACCTCTAAGTTCAGACTGACCTGATCAGTGGCCGGCTGGCGGCTGGGCAGCACCAGACATGGCGCTATGCTGTGCTCTGAGTTCAGCAGATGAGGCGGCAGCGGTGTGAACAGGCCTGGAGACAGAGCCAATCTGAACAACACGGACAGGTCACACAGAGGACATAGAGGACGAACGGCGGCCCGTACTGCACTGATGAGCTTCAGGGTATGAGCAGGCATTGGACCAGTTCAAGATTGGCTGAAAAGACCATGCGAGCGATACTGCATGGCTGCAAGTCAAGCATCCTCAGCCTCTTCTCAGGACCGGCCAACAACAGACGACAGCCGGAGACAAAACAGGTCGGAACGTTGTGTGAACAACTACCACAGACGAGGACAGTGGTGCCAACGACCATCCGACCTGGAGCTAAACAGGCTGTGTTCTCTTAAGCCACAAAGACGATTAAACGTCATCATCAGGTAAGGTAGCGCGACCTGGCTCGAACGCGGCGGACGCTGTGGGCGCTGTCGGTGCCTGCCGCCGACCGGCCCCACCTGGTATGTTTCCCCAGAAGAAGCGGGGCCGACTCTGCGGCGAGAAGTGCTTGGCGTCGATCAGCGCCGGCTCCATCTGCAGGAACCTGCAGGTCAGGGGCCGCACTGAACAGGCCACGCACAGCACACCAGAGCCACTGGAAGGACGACCCTCCGCCGGGATCAGGACCCTTTAGGACCCTTTATGAGATCAGCCACGGCTACCTGTTGAGGCACGAGTGACAGGGAAGTTTCCCAGTAGTGACGGGTGATTCCACAGGACTCTTCACCTCAGTGCACACAAACACAGCATGCACTTATACTTGAGGTAATTCAGAAAAAAACTAAGGCTTCTGCTGTTTTGCATGCGTAATGATGGCGAGGAAAGACTACACACGCAAAGAAATAAACGTTCTTCAATAAACCGGGCGATATAATAAAGCGAATAAACGGGCGATACTCGGAACAGGCAAGCCATCCACACTTGCTATAGCTATGAGACTCGGTTCTTTTTACCAGATATAACGGAAGTTTGGGATTCAATGACGCCTTAGATATCTCGCGGTGTTCAGCAATATAATCAAAATGTAATACAATGAGATAATTATTTCTAATGTTGTCTTGTTTTTTTCTACACTTTTCCATCGTCTACTTCTATCATAGTCGTGAGGTGCGCACTGAGCTCGTTAGGACGAGCGTTCCACGTTTTTGTTGTCTGTTATTACAGGTATTCCCCTGTCTACTTAAGACCGCTCAGTATCATGCATGCATGCTATAACTTGTGTCAAAAATCTGTTTCCAACTACATTTGTCTAAAAAATTATCGCATACAAATCGCCAAAAATAGCTGATGATACATGCACACGCGCCCTTCAACGGGGAAAGGCTTTTCGAGGCCCTACAGAAATGAAATCGTCAAATAGTTCACAATGATGCCTTGCGGGAAGAGTAGTCACCTGGATATCACCTTCCGGTACTCCAGAGGCATGGAGGCCACATTTTCAAAGAGCCAGAACACATGTCGGCCCTCGTTACACACTTCCACGCTACGTAGAATCCGGTAGAAATCGAAGAACAAAATGCCAGTGCCCTCGGGATCTGGAAAATGAAATATCATCATCATTAGTGGTAAGACACAACACACCTGACAGCACGTAACACCTCCTCGGTCATGTTGCTTATAGTTGCAGCATCATGGTTGGGCAGGTGACGCTGTGGAAGAACGGTCTCTGGATCGGGCGCACATGATCGCATGGATACCCATCTGAAAAAAACGCGTACAGCTTCCCCACAGGGGAAACGGCTACGGCGGGCAGCACCGTCATGACCTTGCATGGTACCTTACACGTTCTCAGTAGCCACTGCACGGTTAGCAGGCGGCTGGTGCTGGATTCTTAGGGTGGCGGTAGTCGGGGCCAGTGTTGACGTGAGGCGCCAAGGCTAGTGAAGGCTGGTGACAAGGCCGCACTTGACCTTTTGTATCACACACAAGTACATTTGCGCAGGATTAAGCATTATGCACACATGCAGGTCTGTACTCAGAATATTGTATGTAGGGATCTTCATTGTAGCAAATCTTTTGTGCGACTTAACGCATTCAAAATGTGGTTACCTCGAAGTGATTTTTTTCACGCTTCTTTAAAATATCATCCTACCTTCCGTAAGTGTGACAAACATAGTACAAGAAGAAACACACGAGAACCCAGAAGAAAACGCCTCCAGGATCTGTTGTTGAGACTATTAAGTAGCATCATGCATACATCTCGAAAGCGCGCTGCATAACACTGAGACAGGAACACACCATATAAGTGGATGCACCACCATAATCATCAGAGTCAGACTTGAGGTCAACTATCCCCTCACTGACCGTAGAGGCCGCGCCGGGCCGGGTTCACCACGCTGAGGTCGGTGCAGGGCGATCCGGCCAGCACGAGATCGACCGGCGCCAGTTCAGAGATCTGCACACAGCGGACACACCCAGCTGACTGTGCGGTCTGAGCGGGCACACCCAGCTGGCGGTGCGGTCTGAGCGGACACACCCGCTGGCGGTGCGGTCTAAGCGGACACACCCTGCTGGCACCCAGCTAGCGGTGCGGTCTGATTGCTCCCGCCCGCTCAGGACCCTACTCTTCATCACACTGACCAAAGATGTTCAAGTTAAAAACACGTAGTTAAGATACACGTCAATCTGAACCCAAGAGCACGCACCACGCAATATGGCAACCGCTCTGAGCCTACAGGAATACACCATTTACCCCCGGTTTTTGACAACACTGACTACACTGCCATCGTCTATGACAGGAGCTGACCAAAAAAGGGTTGAACACCTCCAGCCCACACGACCGCGGCCGCACGGACATGACCTGACCTTGACATCGGTGAGCGTCTCCACCGCACCCAGCTGGGTGACGCGGGGATGGTTCATGGCGGTCACATGGATAGCGTCCGGGTCCGTCTCGGCGGCCAGGTACACGTCCACGGCGACCCCCAGCTGGCTCAGCACCTACATCCCTGCCGCACAAAACCGGCCCTGGGGACTCAAGCTCGGCGACACTTTCCCAGCCCGCCACAATTGGCTTTCATCAACGTGCATTGAAAGATGAAGCCAAATCTATACTGCGTCGAATCAGTCGTAATAAACTGCAAATCAGCATGCTAAAGCAAATATCGGAGACCTCCAGTGTGTACCCCGCGTTAAAACGCGGGGGTACACACTCGGATCAAGCGACAGGCGGAAGATCGGGGAGTCTGGGACCGACGGTGAGCGGCTAACCTGTGGCGATTCCGTCGAAGAGCGACAGCACACGGATGGGCCGCCTGTTCTTGAACTGCTCCACCGGCAGGCGCAGGGTTGGGCAGGAGCGCGGGGTGAAGAGACGCGCCACCTGGTGAGCAGAGTGCAGCAGTGGCGGCGTCACTGACAGGGGAGCAGCGTCCACGCCAATAAAACGTCACCTGGCAACCCTGGCACAAGGACGGGCGCGGAAGGGAGCATGACCACGGTGGAGCGCACCGAGTGTGTGTGCGCGTGTGCGTGTGTGTGTGTGGGGGGGGGGGGAGTGACAGCAAGAGAGGAATATTGTGAGATATTATACATAGTTTGCTACAGTTTACCCGTAGGCTTTCGACACTACACGCAATCTGCTTAAACTCCCAGCGTGGCGAGCCGATCCGGTATTTCAGCCTTATCTCAATGGCGGCGTGTCAAGCCCGGTTGTGCCGCGCGGCCCGGGCGGGCTGGCAGCAGGCGCGTCGCGTCTCCCGGCGGACCCGCTTCGGACGTACCCGGTGTTTCCAGTCGGCGCGACCCCGCAGCGGGCTGACGTCACCGGACACGTGACACACGGGGCAGCGCCAGGCGGGGAGCGCGGCCAGCCGCTCCGGCGCGTCCGCATCAATCAGCACGCTCAGACACACCGAGCAGAAGCCCCTGTGGCACCGGAGCAGAGCGTACACCAGTCCTCCGTCACAGCGACAGGCTCTCAGGCCGCTGGCGGCTGTCCAGGTTCATTCCTCAGTCGCGTAAGCACAAGTGATACATCAGAAGTAGGCGGCCTAACTCATCAGCGCGCAATGCGTTCCATATTGCGTAGTCACGTACTTCATGAGAAGTTTTGTGTAAAAAACACATATTTGCAACCTTAATGAACACAAACTTGGCGTGGGCTACGAACAGTCAGCCCAGTGATTTTACTCGTTGACATCCTTCCTAATGCACCAAGTGGTGGAAAAACTCATGAAAATAGCTACCGTCCCATCAGCACGTTTGCATGCGGTGGGGCCAACTTCCGTGCCGTCATCGGAGGCGAGCGGAGTCCAAATGGGTCACTGACCTATTGCAGGTCATCTCGTCGCAAATTAACAGCTGGCCCAGACGAGAACAGATCACGCAGTAGGGCTGCAAAATAACCAGAATGGTTGAGGATAAAGCCGCCGTCTTTTTGTCACATTGCCATTGTTGTACAACAGCCCAATATCAAAACACAGCCCGAAGTGCATAGGACAGTGCAGGATGTAGGAAAGATCTACCGGAAAAGACGGACGGCGGTGACGGCTTCCAGTACCCAGTCCAGACACACTCACAGTGCTGCGACCAGCGACACTCACGCTGTTAAGGCCAGCGTGCTCAGTGCTGCGACCGGCGCCACTCACGCTGTTAAGGCCAGCGTGCTCACAGTGCTGCGACCGGCGCCACTCACGCTGTTAAGGTCAGCGTGCTCACGGTGCTGCGACCAGCAACACTCACGCTGTTAAGGTCGGCGTACTCACAGTGTTGCGACCAGCGACATTCACGCTGTCTAGGTCAGCGTGCTAACAGTGCTGCGACCAGCAACACTCACGCTGTTAAGGTCAGCGTGCTCACAGTGCTGCGACCAGCGCCACTCACACTGTTAAGGTCAGCGTGCTCACAGAGCTGCGACCAAGGAACACTCACGCTGTTAAGGTTAGCGTGCTCATAGTGCTGCGACCAACGACACTCACGCTGATGCCGTCCTCGGCGATGGCGAACATGGTGTCGCGGATTGCGTCCTGGCAGGGCGCGCAGAGGCCGCCCACCACCAGCGGGTGGCCATCGGCGACCTCCGGTGAGCCGCAAGCCACACACACCGCCTCCAGGCCGGCGGACGGGTCGGCCGTGCGACGCAGCCACTCGGCTGAGGGGAGGGCGTGAGCGTCAGGCGACCTTAGGTCACGGGATGACGACCGTCAGGTGACGTTTGGTCACAGGATAACGACCGTCAGGCGACATTTGGGTCACGGAATGACGGCCCTCACGTGACGTTTGGTCATGGGATGACGGCTCCTTCCAGCTGTCGATACATTGCAAAGGCCAGATGCCGTTTGAATCATCTGATGTGTATTTGTACCCAGTGAACCACACGAAACCCCGTCTCGTAGACATAATCTGGCATAGTTACTGGCGACAGCATTCACGGCGGCTGACTGTACCACCCCGTCCCGCTTCCGTCCTGTGGTCTCCGTCGTCAGAGGCCCGCCTGATACTGACCTCTGCGGTCGGGGGGCGGCGAGTGACTCCTGGCCGGCGCCGGCCGCTCCCCCGGGCCCGGCTCGTCCCGGGCCCGACGCTGGCTCGCCGCGATACCCGCCAGGTGGGACAGCACGCTGGCCGGTATGCTGACATCTGGCGGCGGCAAGGGCGTCAGCCTCCCCAACGCCATCTGGAGCAACCGGAGCCATCCGTTCATTGGCTCTTTTCACATGCCAATGCGACTTCATGGGCATGATCGGACACCACTTATGTACATTAAATTAGAAGTCACAGCAATTTGTGCCTAAATTTTAATCACATGCATAACATGACCCGTCCATAAGCTCCATCCCGCATTGTGGTCACCTTCAGCCCCCTCCCCAGGTTTCCCACTGGACACGCACCGATTAAAGACAGCATTCTTTTGGCCCCTAGTTGAGCAATGGCCCTTGAGACAAACAAACACGAGTGCTGTTGCCATAAGAGGAAGCCAACAATATCCGACATTGGTGTTTAAGACATTTTAAAAAGACAGGCATGATTTGAGACCACATCTGAGCATAATATTTTGTTGTTCCCCTGTTCCGTCCCGGCAACGTTTCATTAACCTCCGTCTCCGTCCACGCGTAACGTAACGTACAGACGACCCCCATACTAGATTCACAAGTAACCCGCTAAATGCAAGTGCTCCTATTCACACAGGAAACTGTTCTCGTTTAATGTGTCCAATGAGGTGAATACTCCGAGACAGATTAATTACGGAATGCTGCACAAATCGACAACTAACTCGAGTAACGACACGAAGTCATGCATTCTCCAAATGAGCGACTGCAGCAGCGTGACATAACGGTAGCCCATTCCATCCCAAGGCCTGTTTGCAAGAAGTAAATTCAGTCCCGACTATACAGCGTCTGCCTGCAGCAGCCGCACCGACCACCAGCAGCCGGTGCGCCGACCACCTGGACCGACCTTCGAACGTGAGCCCGTCGTCGATGGCCGACTGGCCCCAGCTGATGACCTGGTGAATGGAGCCGGCCACCGGATCCAGCCCCAGGCGCCGGCGACACTCCTGAAACACGGCGCTCCATGTCGATCGTGTGTGCGATCAGCGGTCTCTCACGATTTCGAGTACAGCCACAGGACCGGTCTAATCTACCACAAGGGAGCATTCTCAGGCCCGGGAGAGAAATAAACCGACGGACAACACTCAGCTCATGTAACATTAAGACACCAGCAGACGCGCTGTGACAATGGAACTGATCTAATAATGAATGGTGGAGTTCCGAATCGCTGTTGCGTCGTTGACATTCAGTCATTTGGCCGGTCTCGACTTCAAAACGGACACCATTTCAATGTTATTTTTTTTAAATTGGCTGGCAAACAAAGCCCACGCCTACCATCACGGCATTAGCACATGGTCATGAATGTCAGAAACTTACAGCACTAACATCCGTTCCTTTTAAATCCTCTACTCACGGGCGAATACAAGCCAAGGACACCATGCATGACACGCGATGAGTAACTCTGCCGGCAGAAGCCAGTCCCCGCGAGACCGCCTCATGGGGCCGGGGTGCACAGGATCGAACACCACGCACACCGCTCCGCCATCAGCCAGCGGGCCAGCATAAGCCGGCGCCGCTGACGCCAGTCCCTCACCCGGAGTGCCTCGACCAGGCCCAGCTGGTACGCCTGCAGCCGGTAGGCGGGCTGCACCAGCGAGCGGAAGCCGGCGGCGAACTCGACCACGCGGTCCCGCGCCACCTGTCGCCATCGCGGGCAGCACTCCGTCGGTGACAGTACGAGGACAGGTGCGCACTGGTTTGTCCTAGGTGGTTTGTCCCATAGCTCACGGCGCGGACAGCTCAATGCTCGGCCTGTGCCAATCAGTTCAACCGGATTTTGTTAAGCATTCTACGCCCAACCGCGCAAACCTCACGACTGAATTGATGCTCATATTCTGTCACAATTTATGATACAGGAGGGATATGACGCACGCGTGACTCCCGTCGCAAATGTGGATGTCTAAATCAACCTACGCAGGCGGTTAAGGGCGCAGCAACGTTTCCTACCAGACATTCCGAGATTTGCTGACAGTCTGACAAGAATGACTGATTTAACCACATCATATTCCTCCTTTGCCGGCGAGAAGACATAGAACGGCCCGGATGTTACCAGCCGAGCGGTCCGGGGTGCCGGACTTCGAGCTAGACCAGGTCGGGCTATAAGCAACGACACCTCCTAACCGTTCAAACAGAGCCGTGAACAAAGACGGCCGGACCGTCGACCAACCGATGCTTCTAGGGACGGGCAAACCATTACATCACCTAGGGAGAACTGCACTGTATGAGGACATGGGCAGTATCCTGCCCGAGCTTCCTGCCAAGCCCGAATATATAATAATCCCAACTACGCCGTTTCCACACCTTGCACACTAACCAACGTGCCAATTTTCATAGAGGTGAAGTCAAACGGACAAACTGGAAGACACGAAGGCTCACTCAGCCCCCCCCCCCCCCTCTCTCTACTCCCACAATGCCGTGCGAAGTTGGTGCGGCGGGCCCGACCTGACCGGGCAACGGCTTAACCTTCTTGCCGGCTTGACAAGAACCCAGCTGATTTTTTCGGAGCTTTTTGTTAGGGCGGACATCTTTCTAAGCATGACTGATCGGTCCGAAGCATAACCACGGCAGGCTATCGAGCTCTGGCCTCATCGTCGAAAGTCTGCAAGGACAAAATATGGCAGCTCAGCAGCCAACAAGCGCGACCGGTATATTTCTGCACCGAGAGCAATTTTTTTCTATCCAGTGAGTTTAGGGGTCTCACACTGCTACTACAGTAAAAACTATAATTGCCCGTAGCAATACCGACGGACATTCTAGGAAGAGTTGCATGGGATAGACCTGAAATTGGAATCAAAATATCCCGCAGGACATTTACGCCATGAGCCGCATGACTGATATGTCTCGATCTTAACACTACACCAAAGCATGGGTAGCTCAGGTAGTTTTCAACCTTGAACGGAACGATCTCATCTTAGCACTCTAATTCCGTACAGACAATATATTAACTGCCTCGCCGTGGAGGTGCCGTGACTTCCCACCTCTGAGATTCGGTGATCGCCAAACCAGTAGACCCAGGGCCGGTCCCTGGAGGCCAGCATACCACCCCGCTCGCCTTTGACGAGCATCCCTGGCGGCCAGCACAGAACCACACTGGTCGCGTTTTCAGCACAGGGAAGGAAACATTCTGTGACGCCGAAACCTTTTGCTCGCGGCAGCAGTCGGTGGAGGAACTTTCCCCGACAGACCATGTTTTGGCTAGATAATTAACCTGAATATGCAGTTGATAGAAGAGTAGAACACATTTTAGTAGAAACCGTGGCACCATGTTGTTACAATAACGACGTCCCGAGGCCGTATCTGATTTTTTTTAGCGATGAGCGATTGTGTCTACAATCAGATTTCATTGGGGCAAACTTAAGGATCGCCTCTATGGTTCGTGGGATGTTTTACACTCCAAACATCTAGACAAACGATGCACGTAGCACATTGATAACGGCACTTCTCAAAAGTTTTCAGGAAGACTTTGCAGCACTGCGTTGCGCTGTTACATACCTGGCCACCACTTGGACGCGCCCAGCTTGGCCCAGACCAGGGAGCCCTCTGTGAGCGCCCCCCAGACGCTGGGGTCGAGGCCGGCCTCGCAGGCCTGATCCTCGAGGCCTGCGCTTGCGTTCGGCGGTGGCGGTGTGGCGTCCCTGTCGGCGTGCTCCGGCCGACGCGGCCGCGGCACGGGCGTCGCCGGTGACCGCGGTCGGGGCCGCCGGCTGTGTCGGCTCCTCAGCCGCGCGACGAGCGCCGGTCCCGCCTCGGGTCGCCGCCCGCGCCGCCGCGCGGCCGACGGGCGGTCGGCAGCCCGCGGCGAGCGGCGGGCCGGCCGTCCTCGAGCCGGACCGGCGCCGCGGGAGCTCGGGACCCGCTGCACCGGACCGGCGCCGCGGGAGCTCCGGGTCCGCTGTACCGGGCCGGCACAGCGGGAGCTCGGGGCCCGCTGCATTGGAGCGTCCGCCGCCGGCTCCGGGCTGCGCTCGCGCCCGCCGCCCATCCGGATGAGGAAGAGATCGTGCCGGAGCGGCGGCAGCGACGTCGTCGCGAGGTGGGTCAGTGCCAGCTCCTGCCGAAGCTGCACTGTTCGCTCCTCCATCTCCACACGGTCTGCCCAAAGGAAGTTTAGGACACCTGCTGCTGTGCTATGCAAGCATGCAACAGAAGCATGGGCAGCATTTTATCCTTATTCCATTTGTGTGCCAACAAAATTATAAATGAGCAACTCACACACAAACCATGCACCAAGCACACCACAATGAGACAGCCATGAAAATTTGCAAAACCAAACCTTTCATAAGCTGTAGTCTAAGTGCCACCTCTGTCAGGTGCACTTCCAGTTCTTCATACTTATCTTCATTGTCAGCAAAGTCACAGGGTGTGTTGAATGACATATATTCATCTCCATCTTCCATGTTTGAAGTTTTTGTACCACTCTCCATGCATTCCATCTCTGAAGTCAGTTGTCTGCCACAAGGGCATCTTCAGGGTGAGAGAATGAAATCAGTACAAAAGAGCAGAGAATCAGAGAATGAAATCAGCACAAATGACAGCTGCACTTACTACAGAGTAGATGAGTCATGATGTCATGAAAACAATATCTCATGCAGGATTTACCTAATTTTGGTTAATATGCAAAATCGCAAACCAACTATCAACAGCAGGATCATATATGTGAATGTATTCACATCAACTCAGACCATTCCAGCTGGTATAAGTTATGAATATCACATTTCTCTGAATTAATTTCCAGTAATTGTGCAACTCTAGCAGAACACATTAAAAAACCAAGTTTTATCCCAACTATACAAGAAGCTTTTGCAGCACTACATTTTTCATCTTACCAGTTTATGTAAAAACAGGAATAATTAGTCAGTCTTGGCTCAATATCAACATTGCTTGTCCCACTCCTTGATATCAACACATAAGCATACATTACATCCTGCTCAAAGGACTATCAGATAGTTATAGGAGTAGCCTCATACAAAGACATACAATCCATTTTCTCAATTTACACTATGATGAAGTTTATTACACATTGTTCCCTAATTGAAAACATATCAACAGTTGATGTGATGGAAAATGCATGAACAACAAATGCTAAAAATAATGACTTAATACCAGGTATTCCATACTAGGACACCTCCTGAAGCATAACATCAGTGTTTTCACGATCCGATCAGAAATTTTGCCTTTGGGCTGAATGTTTATTTTTCATCTATGTAAATTAACTTGTGATCTATGCAAACAAACCAAAGTCATAACTACAGCCAGGCGAACTACATCGACGGTGTGGGGACCTCGTGCTTCCTAAATGAACTAAATCAACTTAAATTTGTTAGGCAAATCATTCAGCGATGGCATCAGTCGACGAGATAGACTTTCTGCATACCTCCAGCACGTTCAGTTAGTTCAACGTCGTAAAAGTCGCAGTAAATTACGTTCTCCCGACGCCTACAACCCGCCCATTTAGTATCAACCGAAGCTGGAAGTCTTGCCGACAGTCTCCCAGCTGATTGTGTGATAACGCCAGCATGATGTCATCGTATTATGACTAAGAATATTATCACCACAACAATCACAATATTATGACTTCGTTATATATGGCCACAGATCGTTGCCAACCTGCGACAGCGCATGCTGCCCCAAACCCGAAAATCCCATAATGGCATCTGGGCGCTTTCTGGTCATAGGAGTGGGCACCAGCACGCAGACGATGACCGAAAAGAACCGTTCGGCACAGAACCGGACCGGCCGGAACTAGACAGAACGTCATGAAGCAAGACGGGACCGGATGGCACCACTCCAAACCAGACCGGGCGGGACCAGACCAGACGGGGCCGGACAGAGCCGGACAAGATCTGATGGAAATAAATGGGACCGGACGGAAGCTGACAGGACCAGACGGGATCAGACGGAATCAGAGGACAGCAGACGTGACTGGACGAAACCGAACGTAACAGAATGGACCAGCGGTACCGGACGAAACCATAAGAGACACGGCAGAACATGACAGGATTGAATAGCGCGAAAGTGGACTTAAAGCGACCAGTTATGACAAAACGGGACCACCGGGAACCGGACGGAAACGGGCGGGACCTCGGAACCAAGCGATGGAACCAGACGGGACGAGACCAAAGCGGACAGCACTAAACCAAATCAGACAGGACTGGGCGAGACCAGACCGGACGGGATCGGATTAAATCGGGTGAGACATTAGGGAACCAGATGGGATTCGACGGATCCGGATGGAACCGGACAGGGCCAGATGGAATCGGACGGCATCGCACGTGACCGGATGGAAACGGACGAAACATAACCAAACCAGACGGCAACGGACGGAGGGACCTGACCGAACCGGACGGGACCGGACGGAGCCGGAAAGAACCGGACGGCGCCGGACGGGGCCGGACGGATTCAAGCGAAGCGGAGCTATGCGATTTGCTCAATGTCGATTGAGAAGTGGATCTTTTAGATGTACCTTGTACGGTCACTGACCTACGACAGGTCAATGTCAGGCCATGGATTCAGAGAAGACAATTTTTAAGGAGTTGTTCAATCCGGTGCAACAATGTGTGTCAACGATGTCGGATGAAACCATTCACTTCTGTGATAATTCCTTAGGCAACACAACAGCTGAATCAACAAATTTCATTGACTTAGTGTCACGCTTGGAGGTCAGAACAAGGTGAAAACCAAGGTGATTTGTCTCTAGAGCCTCTAGTTCCTACGCGATAGTGTCTGATACTCATTCTGGACTTACTGATAATGGAAACCGCAAGATACATTTTATATGAATTTTTGAGAGTTGAGATTTGGTCTCTGACCTAAGATAATCCAGGTCCACATTTTGTTATTAGGAGCATACCACTTAGCGTGATTCTTGACGCTAGTTGAACGCAAAAATCAAAGCAGTGCTATATGATTTTGATCACCACGACCTTCTCTATGTCAAAAAAGGTCACTGAACTTAAATGAGCACCAGTGCCTTTTTGCTTAGGTTTAATAGATATATAGGTTTACGGTGGCTGCATGAGAGAGTCTGGGCCACTTTGGATACCGATCTGGATTTTGACGTTGTTTGACCTTGAGGTCATGACATAGGAACCTTGAACTTTATCACAAGTGAGTTCACGTATAGGCCAACACACCCCATAACTTTGGTCTCTCTAGCTCTCTTAGTTTCTGAGATCTCAGGGGGTGAAATAGACCTCCACCCGAGCGAAGAGTATTCAACCGGCCACCCGGGCGCGTGTTAGTGTGTGGCTGTGGTCAAGTTACCACCACCGGACCTTCTCAAACGAAGTGTTTGGTGTTTGACATTAAAGCATTCTTTCTGGCCTATCATGGTCGTAATAGTGAGGTATAGTGGGGACAGTAGAGACAAAATAGCATACATTGCCTCTTAAATGACCCATCAAATAAAAGCCCGCACAGTCTAGGGTTGAATGGTCTCACAAGATTAGTTGGGGGAGGAGGGATGATCACTGAAAAATACCCCCCCCCCCCACTTGCGTCAACAAATAGATTTCTCCACGGATTTCACCCGCTCCCCTTTCAACGTTGGGGGGGAGGGCGTTATGACATTGCGATCGCCGGGTGCACGCTGCACCTCCTGCCTCGCGACTGCTGTAGGTCAACGACCTAGCGCCTTTTGTGAATCCATCGGAGCCCATGAAATCCCCGTTGTTCAGCGCACAATAAACCTCATGTGTGGGACATTTGCGTTTGCGTTTGAGTGTGCCTAGTACGCGCCACGGGATGTCACAACATTTTTGACACCACCCGATGCCTCGATGGCTTTGATGCGACTCGACTCGAACCTGAGATCATTATGTATTGCGTGCGTGCACGGTGCACATCAAACGACCTGTTACTTGGGAAAACCGCGCAAGTGATAATCCGCTCTGCGACGCCCTGACTCGTTCTGGTCCTGCTCCGTTTTGCTGATGTGTCGACAGCGCCTACTTCTTCCCGCTTGCCTCTTCCGTATACAAAGCGCATTTATTGTGCATGCCAATCTTGTGTTCTAAGCAGCAATTACATGAAAATACAGTTATGAAGCTTTTTTAATTCGGCAGCTTCGTAGCACATTTTGTCACGTGTGGCGCTTTTACACTTACATGGATATATACGCCTGCACGCCACATTCCATTTACAGACAAGGGCGCATATAATAGATATGTTTTCACCTGATTTCACCTGACATCATGACGTCATTATTGACTCATGCGTGCACGAAGTCTTTGCACATAGTGCGTTCATGCATGAGTCAATAATGGCGCCATCCCTATTAACCGTGCTCATACTTTTCCATAACCTACTCCTTGAATTGTGATGGTCCTGATTCGTGCGCCTCCTGGCACACGAATCACCTGGGAGGCGCAAGGAATGCATCTGTGCCTCCTGGCTAGGCAGCCCCCGGAAACGATTTCAAAATTACGAGAGGGGGAGGGGATACAAAAAATGACTTGTCGACCCGCTTCCCATCGTTCTCCCCAGATTTCAGACGCTGTATTCTTCTTAGGTATGATGCAAAAGGTGACTCGCATTATCGAACGTTTTCGGCGACGTCATCGCACTCCCGCGGATGAGGTCAGCTGTAACCAATACCGCCAGATCTATTTTCCTTGGGGCAGAATATTTTCGCACTAAGTGTATGATGCTGTTTTTGCATGCATGTTTTGATCACATTTACTTAGTTGTTTATGATGACGGTGGAAATCTGACACATAAACGTACCGTACGATCCATGTCTTCATGGCTGAGAGTGTTCCGGATCTCAACCAGTGGCAGCTCTACGCCGGACCCATGCCATACCCTTTCATAATCCTGACAGCTGAAAGCTCGCAACCGAAATGTAGGACGCCAAGAGTCTGCGTTGACCGCGTATTGCAAATGATCATGAGATGGCTCTTGTGATGTTTGTCTCATTATCTACCGCACCCAGTGGCGGATTCAGAACTTGTTCAAGGGGGGAACGCAACATTGTGGAGTCTCCTCTGGAAATTGGAGCCTCTGCAATATTGGAAACCCTCGTACTCCGGCCATTTGAGATTCTTATGCCGGCCTTTTGTTATGTGGGAACCCATCTTACTGCGCGCAGCCCTAGAAAACTAAAGATGGTACATATGTGCATAAATAGAGCGCGTTCATTTTCTCCATATCACGATGGATCCTGCCATTTTGAGACTAAGTATTTTGAAGAAAGGTGGCAAAATGGGCTAAAGTTGGCTGCTGGATATCATCACAATCAAGCACCACACTTGATTCCAAGATTATTTGCGGCTAGCTAGCTTCCGGCGGTTAGCCGGCTAGTTGATGTGATCAGCAGCTAATGGCTGATTACTAATGCAGGGTTTTTCTTTTGACTGTTGGCCGCTTACTTCTAAAAAACCTAGCATTCAAAATCGCTAAGGACGTGATGCTCATATATAATAAGTGCCTAAATTCAATAACCAACGGAAATTGTATGTACAACGTCGTCGGCGCGCAAAATTATGTTCGGCAATTGCGCGTAAAATTCACCAGAGCATATCGGGCGGCTGATTTAAGGCTAAGGCGCCAAGGGAAATCGTCGTCGCTTAGAGCTCGGGCATGTGTGCATGAAGTTTACTTCTACGAACTTATAATTTAGCCAGGCCCATGCACACGAGCGAGCGAAACGTCCTTGCGCTCGTTACCACATGTGGGGCTTCCGGCAACAGAGCAAGATTCTCTTGACTTCATCGGAAGACCTCACGACCAATGTGGGGAACCTTGGAGCAATGAAGAGTGCCCCGGTCGATCAACATTTAGGCCCCCACAAACGGCGTCGAGCCTCCGATAAAATGAGAAAACCCAAGGCCAATTGCAGCAGCACCTGAGCGGTCGAGGGTGCTGCGGCAGACCAACAGAGGGGCCCTGATAACGGTGAGTCCTG